TGGGAGTTGAAGTCCCACTCGTCTTAAAGGTGCCAAGGTTGAGAAACACTGATCTAGGGGCTAGTCCTGGAAAGCTTGTCAACCCTCACCTGGAAAAGATCAGGGCCCCCAATGGTGATTTTAGGGTTCTGACAAGGATATTTTGGAAGCAGCATTCCTTCAGGCACGGTGGCTTCAAGGGTTTTAGAAATAAAAATATTACTTTGGGGGAATTCCAAGCTGCAGCTGGGCATCTCACCTTCTGCAGTTTCATGTTCTCACCCAAAGAATTACTGTGGCTCCAGGAGGCTTGTTTTCGCATACGATGCCTGGGAAGAGAAATGGGCAGAGTCAATAAATGCTTTCGACATCTTTTGTTCAGCTGCCATTAAATGCCTGTTTACTTACTAGTCTGAGAGTTTGATCGCAATCTTTTAAAAGTGCCGCTATTTTTAAATTATATGAAGCATGTTTGGAAAAGCAGCAGGCAAGCTTTCAATTAGAAGGGAAGCTAACCAAAACAAAGACCTCATGTGAAAACTATGGAAAGAACATCTTGGTACCGCGTGTTGCTAGACTTTGGGCCCCAATCTCATGCCGACCAACCTGAACATGATGCTTTGTAAAATGGAGGCAAAAGGGGTGATACCAATCCCTGCTGCAATCAACACTGCGTGTTCTGAAGTGAAGATCCTTCGTGTGGAAGTGCCGTAGGGACCATCAACGTAACACTGAGGAGAGGGGAAGAAAGGATGCCGGGTGCTTTGACCCCGTTCTTGGCAAAGGTGAGTTGTTTCCTTCCAGCTTATCCTTGAAGCCAGAGTCTTCTGAATCTAGGCCAGACTGTCATAGGGTTATGCCCACTACCAGACTTTTTAATGCTCATCTGGAGACGTAGATTTCCCCTCTGCTGTTTGTCTGTGTCATATTCTTCAGTTCATGACTGGTCAAGCAGGCATGACAAAATCACAGGACTCTCCACATCCAACTGATTTGACAAGGATGATATCACTGAAAAGTTGGTTTCCCATTAGAAACTCAAACAGAGGGGGAAACCAATTCCCATTGTTCAGCCAAACCAGCTGTGACCTCTCACTGGCCAGACAACTGTTTTCATTGCAGAGTCTGGCTTTTGACTATGAAATGTCGTTGTGTAGATTATCCTGGTAGCAGGATAGAAACAAACTGATGAAATACCATGGAAATAATGTCCTTGGCACACTGCAGTTGCTGTGGTAGTCACCTATCTTCAGTAGATCTCTTCCATGGGATTTCAACAGCTGCTCACACCAGCCACACTATGCTCCACTGAGTCACAGAACATGTCTAGATTAAGGCAAAGGAATATCATGCTGTTCGATTCAGGAAAAGGGACATGTTTCCTAGTCCTCAGCATTACATCCCTTGCAAAGAGTTTGCAGCCTTTTGCAAAGGAGCTTGAACATTTGCAAAAAGTATGTATGGTAGTATCTTTTTAACAGGACAAACGTTGCAGGAAAATACAACCTTCCACCAGTTCTGTTCTTTCCCAAGCATTGAAGGGGTTGGGCTGCCTCTTCCCATTTCAAATCCCACCTCTCTCCCTCACAGATGCCTACAGGTCCTCTCCCCTAACCTTGCTCCTTTTGAATTCTGTGCACTGCAGCAGCAACCCAAATGCCCTGAACCTCCTCCTGGTGCACAATTGTCCTTTGTTCCTCACCAAGCCATCAAACGGAGAATGCAAACTCTGGGACAGAGAGAATTCTACCAGTGCTTAATGAGTGAAAGAATATCAACGAGCAGCTTACCTTGATATTACAGAATCTATGATTCTTGGTAGGCCTGCCAGAAATCTGATAAAAAGATTATTGTGTTAGTAAAAGATCTTATATGTATTGGGTAGAAGGCAAGTTGATGCCCTTTAAATCTTTGGGGCTTCAGCTTCTATTTTGAGCATAGATACGTGTGTGTGTGTGTGTGTGTGTGCACATGTGCATAGATAGTCATACAACCAGTAATTTAAGTTTTACAAGAAACAAGGAAAACAAGTGCAGAAACACAAAGATTTTCTGGGTTCATCAAGTAGATGTTCTAACCCACAGGTATGAGGACCAGAGCAATAGGTCGTTCTGGGATTTTTTTAGATCCATAGACAGTCGAAGTTAGTCAGTGTCTAAAACACAATTAAATACAATTAAATATTATTAGGATGGCTACCAGCAAGTGAGATCCAACTGGTTGAGTATTTGACACAAAGGTACATCTATTTATGCACTAACCACTTACTTACAGGTCCTTGTACCCAACTTCATAAGACAGAATGTCTGCTTGGTTCCAGCAGAGAGGGCGTGCTCCAGGTCCCTTCCACCAAACAGTGCCATCTTGTGGGACCCAGGAGTTGTGCCTTCTCTGTGGCAGCCCCTTCCCTGTAGAACAGTATCCCTCTGGACATCTGGATGGCCCCGACCCCGTTAGCCTTTCCTAAGGCTCTGAAGACCTAGCTGGAGGTTTGGCAGGCTCTGCGGCGGATCCAGTTTTTGTGATTTGTTTTATTATTTATTGTTTTAACTTTGGGCATCTTGGATTTTATGCTATGGTGGTTGTTTTAATCCTTGTACACTGCCCAGAGTCACTGTTGTGTGATGGGTGGCCATATAAATTGTATTTAAATAAATTATATATAAATAAATAAATATTAATGTTTAGGTTTCAGAACATTCTGCAGCTAAAATGCTTCGATCAGGTAGAAACGGGAGTCGTGCCAACTCCCCTAATCTGGTATCTCTCCAGATGCATTGGGCTAATCCCCAGCCAGCAGGGGAGGTTTTAGAAATGGAGGATCAAAACAGAGCTCAGGATAGGAAGGATTAGAAAACAGGATTGTAGAAAAGAAAATATCGATTTACAGATAATGAATTAGCTTGTGTGAGATCCTGTTCCAGCTATTGGAAGCAGAGAAACTCTTTGTGATCTGGGCCTTCATATCTAAAAATGCAAAGCAAAAACAGCTGTAGGAGGCAAAATTAATTTGATAGCACCTTTTCAGAGTACCAAATTTGATCAAAAGGCTTAGGACTTTCATGAACTACAGCTCACCTCATCAGATGCGTGGAGTGGCTAAGCTGAGGTAGGATTTAAATTAAGATGAAAGTGTAGGGAGACAGAGAGTTTAGGCAGATGCAGATTACATGTGAAACGGATTGCCTTATCAATTAACAAATGATGATTGTAATCCTACCCCAGTTTAGCCGCTCCATGCATCTAATGAAGTGAGCTGTAGCTCACACAAACTTATGCCTATTAATTGTTAGTCTGAAAAGATGCTACCAGAGTCCTTCTGAGTTTTGGCTAACAAAGACTAACGTGGCTTCCTATAAGTTTGCTAAAATGGGTGCAGATCAAGCTTGAATTAACTCTCTCAGCTGTGACAAAATCAGGGTCCTAGAACTTTTTCCTCTCAGACTTTTGTCAGATTCTTCAATATGGCCCTCAGCCTTCCTTGTGCTATTCTAATTTACACCCAGTTCATAGGCTGGGCATTTTTTTGTTCTGTAGCCAGGAGTCAACCCGGACTCAAAGGCAAAAAGAAAAAGAAGAAAAGCACAATCACACACTATACTAATGAGGGAACAAAGAGAATCATAGCTTAGGACATTGTTGTGGATATATAGGGAATTTCAACGGAGCTAAGAGTTACAGGCAAAGAAATGGGAGATGGCTAACCACTAAGAGGTGAACTAACAAGTAGGAAATACTTGCAAAAAGAAAGGGGTTTTTTGGTCTTACAAGGGAAACTAAATGCAACAAAAAGGGCCATTTTGGCCAAGTCAAGGAAGAAAAAGGAAGGAGCAGCTAGGAAAGAAGGAGAATCTTTCTTCCACCAGGAGAAGAGGATAGGATACTGACAGCAGGTGCAAGCAGAGCTCCAACTCCCATTCTTCTCTTCTCTCCAGAACAGTTGCCAAAAGAAGAGCGTGACAACACAAGGCATGGAAAGAGATGGCCAGGGGGCACATGGCTTCCATGAACAAGTTTGAGTCTCCAGGACCACATCAATTACAGTACATCACCGGTGTGTGTGTGTGTGTGATGCCATCTTTAAGACCATTTCTTTGACCTTTAAAGAAATTATGGAGGACAGGTACAGTGCCAGAGGATTAGAAAAAAGAAAATGTTTCAATCTTAAGGGAGGAAAAAGAGGACTTGTCTTATTACAAATGAGTAGGATACATCCATACCAATCAAAATTCTGGAACAGTTTATTAAGTGGTCAGTTTATGAGCACTTAGAGAAGAATGCACTTCTTTGCAAAAGCCAGCATAGGGTTCCAAAGAACATACCATGACAAACCAATGAGCTCTCCTTTCGTAGAGGGACCAGTTTATGTGACCATGGAAATGTGGTGGACATAGTGTATTTTGATCAGCAAAAAAAAATAAAAATAAAAAATCAATACTCTCACATGAGAATCTAAAATAGCAAAGGTGAGCTGACCGTGCTACTATTAGAGGGATCTAGACCAGACTGAACAATTATACCAAGTGTGTACATCAATGGCTCCACATCAAGCCAGAAGAAAGTATCAACTGGTGTAGCACAAAGCTTTCTTCTGGGTCCTGTGCTATTCAACATATTTATGCATGACTTTTACGAGAAGATACAAAATATGACTATCAAATTTACCCATGGTAGAAAGATTGCAAAGACTGTAAAGAATAGCATTAAGATTCAGGAAGATCCTGACAACCTGAAATAATAGGCAGAAACCAGGAAGAACACTTTCCACATGCAAATGCAAATTCCTATAGGTAGAAAAAAACTCAAGGGCGTGTGTCTAAAATGGGGTGTGGAGGGGGGGAGGGAGAAAGACCACACTGAGGAGCAGTGCATGGAAAAAGGGCCTGGGTCTCTTGGTAGGTCATGAGTCAAGAGCTGGAAAAAGAAAGCAAATCCAATCTTAAGTTGCATCAGCAGAAGTGCAGAGTGCAGACCAAGAGAAGCCGTCATTCCTGTCACTGCTGCATTGGTTAAACTGGACCTAGAATAGTGTCTCATTCTGGGTGCTGCTTTTAGAGAGGACATTGAGAATTGGATCACGTCTTGAGGAGAAACCAGGGGGCCTAGAAGGAAAAGCATGAGGCACATGGAGAAGAGAGGGAAAAGAGAGAGCGGATCATTCTTTTGCAGTATGTGCAGGGGTATCATCAAAAAAGTTAATATGGCAGCCACAAAAAACTGCACACATAAAATGGGCAGAGCTTCAATCACACCATTGTGGGTGCCATCTTGACTTTTTTTACTATATAGTACACTGCAATACCCCTGAGTATCTGAAAGGCTGTTCCTGTAGGGAGATCGGGTAGAAGTCATGGCCCAGGCTCAGGACTCAGATTTTGAATCTGAATCTGGCCCGGAAGAAACTGCTCCAGCTGAGCCTGGGGAACGTCAGCCTCAGGAGAGACAAAGCCAGGAACCATGTGCAGCTGATCCAAGACAGGCACCACCCGAGCAGCTGGAGAAGTCAGATGAGGATGACGAAGGCCTTTCAACCCTTGCACCCGGCGAGCAGGGAAGAGAGCAGAGCAGAGTCCTTGCCAAGCAAGGGAGAAAATCTCCCGATTAGTGATGGCTGGCTGCAACCTTACTTAAGTAGCAGCTCTTTGCTGGAAACAATGTCTGACCTCTGGCAAATTCTGTTCGTGTTTGAAACCTTGAACCTCTGACCTCTGGATTGGCTGATAACTCTGACCTGGCTCTCAGAACCCTGGATTTGGACTACTCTTCCAGGTGTTCCTATTTAGTAACCAAATTCTTCAGGCCAGCCTCAATGTTGTTTACATTCCTTTGTTTGCTGTTATCTCTTCAGCCTTGGAGTAAAATTGCTAAACTCCATGGTTTAGTTGTGTGAGTGTGTGTGGTTGAAACCTGAAGCAGGACAGTAGGATTGTTGAAGACATGTTCCAGAAAACAGGACAAGAAAGAGTGGATTTAAGTTGCACAGAAATAGATCTCACTTGGACATCAAGAAGAGATTCCTAATAATAAGGACTGTTCAGTAATGGAACAGTTGGTCTCAGGACACAATAGATCCTCCTTCACTTCGAGGTTTTAAACAGAAGCTGGATGGTCATTAATCAGGGACACTGTAGTAGTGGATTTCTGGAGTGATGGCTCCCTCCAACCTTTCCATGCTATGATTCTCTATTTGTATAATGTTAAACCATGGTTTAGAACCCACAATGCCCATGTCAATATATTATCACTACTACACTAGCGTCAAACCTTTTGCAGACCATCACCATAATCAAACCAAATCAAATATTTTGCAGTGTCAATACTCTACAAAAACACCAGTATTTCAGTTCAGTGAATGCTGTATTACACAAGATGTGTGCAAAGCTAATTACTTTGGGAATGCAACATCAGATATAATAAGAAAGTAACAGAGGAGGAGGAGGATGAAGAAGAGGAGGAGAATCATGTTTCATACCACTACATCATCTCACTATCACGATTTCCAAGGACCATCAGCAGGCTATAGGCTGTGAACTAATGGCTTAGTGTGAAATGTTGAACAATCAGTGACAAAAGATGTTTAATGCTGCAAGCTGGGAGCTGTGCTTGAAATCTAGACCTTTGTTTTGGGGCCTGAATAAGGTTTTCTTGCTTGCCAGAGAAATCTGATTGCTTCTGATCTGATCTGCTTGGACATTTATCAAGAAAGGAAAGGATTACAAATCCTCAAGTTCTCTCCAAAGAAATCTAAACTCTTAATTTTTCTCAGCTCAGAGAAATAGAAAGGAAGCACTCATATGATAAATGACTTTTTTTCTGACTCTCCTATTGTGAGACTAGGCTGAAGCTGCCATAACCTAAAGGTGAAGCAGACACATAAGCAGAGAGGACAAAAGCCAGGAAACTTATCTATGAGATAAGAAGGAAGCACCTCGTTAAGGAAAAAACAAAGGACCTGAACCAGAAAAAGGAAGTTGGGCCTGAGCACATGGA